AATGTGAAAAGATAAAGGAGAGAGAGATACTGCAATCAATGGTCTTCGGAGCTGGCACTCTGACTCTCTCCTAGTGCTCTCCGACGTCGACGGCGGCTTACATCTTGAGTCTCGTTATCCTCATCTGAAGTCCTGTGTCCAGCAACACTAGGACCAGCTCTAGTGGCATCGTCTCCTCCACGAGTCTCCGAAACTCTAGCGCGAAAGCAAGAAGGTGGGCGCGGGTAGCTGAGCTTAGATAGCGCATTCCACATCGTTTCCATCATCGAATGCTGAGCCCTCTGAGAAGTCTCCAGCCATTGCCAATGATCTGAATCGGGTCCATCTGTAGGAAAAGAGGGAAGATCATACCTACCATCATAAGCGGGGAGCAGTGGCTCAAGTGAAGCAGGTGCATGCGGAGCAAAATCGTCTCGTACTTCCTCATCCTCGAACTGTGAAGTAGGTCTTCCTGGGGCTCCACCACGACGCCTATCAAATGGCGGATCTGGAAGGAGAAACTGAGGATCCAAAAAGAACTCCAGATTGTCTCTAGATGTGGGACGTGTAAGGTCAGGGAGGGGGAGCTGGCAGAGTCGCAGAATCAGTGAGCGATCATAGAACTTATACTTAAACTCTGAATCACAAATGCCGTTGTTGCTGAGGAACCTCTCATCATAAAATTCAAGCTTGCCCACACACTTAGTAGAAGTGAGGTCAACCCCATGAAATTGAAAAATGGGTGTCAAGAGACTGCCAACACCCTCAATCTTCGTCTTCTCCAAAGTGTTAAGACCCCGAGACTTCCGGCGACTAACATAGCAGTAAATACCGCTCCCAAAGTTCGTGGTAAGCTCAGATGAAACCCTCTCTACCGTAGATAGCGTGTGGAAAAGGAAGCCCATAGTGTATCATCAGCAGCTCATCTACCCGTAAAGAACCCGTCTCCTCCTTTGCATTGAAAGAATGTCCAAGAACCTTGGCGAGAACCCGAATCACAGGATTCCTAATCAAACTGAGCTTTGCCTTACGAGAATTTGCAKTGCAAAAGGAAGGTCCTGAACCAATCAAACCCCATAACTCAGTAGCAAAGGGAAAAGTAGGAAATTTGCAGCTCGGTATTGTCCTGTCAAATCCATAAAGATCACACAACTCCGGTATAGAAATCTTATATAAAATCCCACTAGAAAGGTAGGAAAAGGTTTCCTCATCTGCTTGGTGCAAAGCAATATCCTTGTACCTAAGCTCCACGGAAGCAAGAAATTGTCTAACCAAATCTGGATACAAAGGATACGTCATATACGCCAAAGTTCCAAATCCCATCTTCCTCAACGTGGATCCAACATCCTCTGCAATACCCATTTTCTGCAATACTCTTAGACATAGAAACCGTGTAGGAACCATAGAGACCTGACGCAACCCATTGTAGAATATACTGTTGAACTCATCCCATGCATGACTAGGCTTGCGTGAACAGTGCCCCGGCAATTTCTGCACCGCACTCATATTAGTATGAGGAATCTCCTCAACATTCCTACCCGGAGGGAAAGCTGTATCCTCAATGCGAGGCCAAGGAGCTCTAGTATGCACACTTTCCTGGTCGTGCTCCATCTCATCATTCGTAGGATGCGAAGAGGATGCGATTTCCTTTCCTTTTTTCGTTGAGCCCTTTTTGGATTGTTGTCTAGAAGCCTGTATGGGTGGCCGGTGAGGACCAACCTGTTCATTCGACTTAGCCATCTCCTTTGCAGATCGAGTGAGAGTTGATGGACAGTGGATCGATCGATCCACATTCGGATCGGTCGATCCTCTTCGGCAGATTGAGCTGGTCGATCCTGAACCACCCGACCATTTGACTTTTTTTTCTCAGTTTTCCGGATCGATCGATCCTACTAAAGGATCGATCGATCTGCCTCTCCATTTTTTTTTAAAGAAAACCTGAAACACTTAGAACCAAAAGTT